GTGAGGAGCACATCCCCCCAGTCGCCTTTCACTGGGCAGTCTGGCCACCCTCCCAGAGACAAGCGCTGCACCCTAAGCCTCCCTTCCATACCAATGTCCAGCTCCACGGCCATAAGTCAAGTGGCCTGTCGCTGGTCTCTCACTGAGCACTTGCTGTGTCCCCTTTATAAAGCACCTAGAACCAGGTCTCCTGGAAACGCACAGAGGGGACAAGGTGGGAGAGGAGTAAGCCGATCACCTCCTTGGGGATGCACATTCTCACTCTTCTCTCTTTGTGGGACTGCTTTCAATGTCATCATGCTTAATACTACCTACCATTACTAATGGTAATCCCAACATCTTATTTGCAAACACATAAATTAGAGGGTGAAATGACTCATGTTACAAATGAACTTCCCACATTAAAAAAGGTCACAGGATCTCCCTAAGAGGCACCTTCTAAAGTGCTGGCTGAGGGATTGTTAAATAATTAGTGGAGGGAGAAACTTGAAACTAAAATGCCCTAAGCCATGACTGCTGGTTAAGTATCCACCAGAAACTAAGAAAAAGCAAATGTGACCCAATGATTTTAAAAAGAGATTCCACTCTCTGGGTTTTGAATGCTCCACTGTCCCCTTGCTCGCACAGGCCTCCTAGCCTGCACCACTCCTATCTGTCTTGTCTGGTTTCATTCCTGGACATGAAGTGAAATGTCTCCAGATGGAGCCACCAACATTCCTTCTTGTCCCCAAAGCGAAGAGCTGAATTATTAGCACTGTCCTTGGCAAGTTCCCTCCCAGTACTCAGGCCTCTGTTTCCCAGATACCCCATTGTTTCTCTGCAGGGTGGGGCTGGCATTTCTCAAACTTTGACTCACCTTCAGAAATGAGTCCTACCAGCATCCTCCCCTCCCTGATGGAGTCACAGGCACACACTTGCTCTCAGGTGTCTGATCCCTAAAGCAGGAAGACGCAGGGCCTGACTGCCTGGTCTCAGCACAGCACAGCGTGATAAGAAGGCAGGCTCAGAAGTCAAGGCTGAGGCATTGGGGCCGTAGGGCTGGGACTGCAGAGTCACCAGTCCTCACAGCTCCTCGAGGCTCACCTTGTCTGCAGGAGTTGTTAACATGAGGTGATTTGAGGGTGCCTCCTTCTTTGAAAGCATAATCCCTTGCCCCAGCCAGTCAGGATGTTTGGAAAGCAGCCACTACTGATTTAAGAAACCTAAGTCCACCCTTCTCCTGGATTCCAGGTCCTGACACCATCAAAGCCACAGTTCTTTCATCTATAAAATGTATAATACAATTAGCTTTCTTCAGAGAGTATTGTGAAAACTGCATATGGAGATGCTTGGGCAGGTAGTATGATTAATAACAACACACCTGTGCCTAGCAGGGCCGGGGGGGCAGGGGACGTTCAACTAGAGGAGAGAGGGTGGAAGGAAAGCACCATGGTTCCAGGGAGGAAAGCAGGAGGACGGGGTGAGAAGAGGTGCAGACCGCCAGACCTGGCTCCCTAACTATCCTCAGTGCAGCCTCTTCTAAGAGGCTGCCCAGTGTTTTGTGCCCTCCTACTGTCTGAGGACAGCTATGAACTCAGAAGACCCATGCTCTAATCCTGGCTATGACATTATTCCTCTATGACCTTGGGCAAGGCAGGGCCTCATTCTAAGTCTGTTTTCCTCACTATGAAGTGGGGACAAGGTGGCCGGCAGGGCAGCTGAGTGCCAAGGTGAAAGGTGTGATGTGCTGAGCATGCCTGGGGGTGATGGAGCCGTGGGTACTGAGGAGCAGGAGCACGTGGGCCCTTACAGAAGCCATGTCCAGACCTCTATCCCAAACCCCGCTGGACTATCCTCTGAGATGACAGTTGTGGTAAAAGCCAAGTTTTCTCACAAGACTGAATTCTTCAAAATTAAGCAGGAGCTTTGTACTGATAAATTAAGAGACCAATGACCAGATTGGAAATTATAAGGAGGACTAGAAGGCACAGGGGTGGCCGAGACATGAGGGGTGGAGCTGGGTGCCAGGCATGGAGCGTGGTTTGCTTGCATATTTCCCTCCACAGAGTTTGTGTCAGGAAGGGCGTAGAGGGGTGGGAGAGAGTAAGGGGACAGGTGGAGAGGGTGTCACGCTGGACACTGACCATCACCTTCTCAACATCCATCAGCTTAGGAGGCCCCCTTGAGGGAAAAACTAAAGGACTGATTAACTTTTAAGTGAAGCTGACCCTGAAAAAAGAGCAGTCTTCTGTCTACATATAACAGAGAGCTCAGAGGAGGTTGTTAGTTAGAGTCCCTACCCAGGGACAGTCGCTGGCACACCAGACAATGCTGGCCACTGTGCTGTAATGGAAATGGGCCCTGGGCAGCACCTACTCCAGCCCCACCCTGCCCGCAGCCTCGGTGCTGAGCAGCCAGGTAAGTCCCTTGGGCCTGCTCCTTCAGTCCCTGAAACCAGATTCACACTACACAGCCAATTGTCATGAGCAGTCAATGAGGTGAAGAGTCAGAAGATACTTTGGAAAGTCCTCTGAGGTGTCCCTGTCACTTCTCAGCAGGCTCACATGCAACAGTGGCTGATATGAGCACACACACAGGGCGGATCCTGAGGCATGCCGGGGGCTGGGGGGTCAGCGAGGAGGTGGGGGGAGGTGAAGCCAGACCTGCACAGGAGCAGAGGACCAGGCCTCCACCTCCTATCTGCATGGGCCCTGAGCAGGGTGGCTACATTTAGCAAATAAGAACAGAGCCTTCCAGTTAAATTTGGATTTCAGAAAAATGAAAAGTAATTGTTTAGTATAATGTGTCTCATGCAATATTTGGAAATATTTATCTGAAATATTTATCCTTCCAAACATTTATCTGAAATCAAAATTTTGCAGAGTCCTACTTTTTTTGAGTCAGGCTTACCGCACAGAGCAGTTGCAGCCCATAAGCATTCTCAGCTACCAGGCTCCCAGTGGGCCTGGGTCTGGGCAGAGGGGGTGGCACCAACACGTGGGGGCAGCTCACACTGTCTCCTATGCTCCAGGGACTGCCTAGAACACTGTGGGGCTGGCCCCCAGTGAAGAAACACAGGGGTATTTGTACTGGGGAAAGGGCCACGAGCGGGTGGTATCTGTGGCCAGGCAGGGACCTTTCCCTCTGGAATGTTCCCGAGCGTGGGCCCTTCAGTCACCGGATCTGAGTTTACCTCCCATCTCTGCTGATGTCTTACATGACCTTTCTGAGCTGCACTTTTCTCATTTGACATTTGCCTTAGACGGGCTATGAAGACAAGATAAAATGGGCACGAGTGAGTGTTCAGTAAATGACAGAAATTAGCAGCAAAGACAATGTTCATATTTTTGTCAGAATTGCTGCAAGTCCCATCTATCCCCTCTTCTTCCTCCTTCTAAAGTTTCTTAGACCTCTCAGTCTGAAAATAGCTCTTAGATCTTTTCCGTTTTAAATCCTTGAGTTTGAGCAAATTCCTTCAGTGGGGTAAGTCAACTTAGGGACTCAGGGTGCTGAAAATATCTAGTGGGTAGTTTTCATAAAACAGGCCAGTAAAGCAAGTCCCCAGAGGGAGTGTGTGGGAGAAGTGGGTGAGGAATCCCCTGGCAGGGGGCTATCAGGACCACACTGAGTGCCTGGGGCAGGTTGAGGCCCATATAAAGCTTCCAGAAGTGGCTGCCACGGAACTGTGCACACCAGCTCTCCTGGGGTCCAGTTGCTGCCTCTAGAAAGTGGGAACGTGTCTGTTCTGAGAGCTACTAGGCTCCTCCCTTCTCCTTCAGCTGCTTTCAGCCACCAAGCCAAGCTCCTTTGGGCAATCAAGGAAGTGACATGACTTTCCCAACAATCATGAAAATCTCATTGCCAGCCATGACTTATTTCTTGATTCTGAGTTAGAACCCTCCACCCCAGAAAGAGGATTTTTCTCATTGAGGGGAAAGATATTTGGAGTTCCAGCAATTTGTAGAAATTCTGAGTCCTCTCCAAAGCTTTCTCATGCCCTATTCTGCCATTAGGCCCTACCAGAGAGCTTTCAACTCTGCGTTTAGGTTTCCAGAAACAGGTATGTTGAGTATGGTATTCTGTGCTGTGCCCCACTATGCTGGCTGCCACCCCTCCATCCTCCAAGGCCTGTACTTCTCACTTGTAATCACTCACCTAGAAGATAAAGAATGCTGCCTATATAGAAAGCCAGGGCATCAGTGCTGAGAAGGCTTCAAAGCCTTTCCAGACCAGATCAGCACTGTCCAAATAAGGGCAGAAGTGCAGAGAAGGCTGCAGAAGAAGTTCAGAGAAGGCCGACTGCCCAAGTGCACACTGCTCGGCAAGGGGCAGGTTTGGAGCTGGAGCCACACCTGGGCCTTCTTGACCAGCGCTTGCTTCTTCCAACCAGCTGCTGCTTGGGTTCTTTGCCTCTCAGCTCTTCATGGGAGTGCTGGGACCACTCTCTTATAGCCACATTCATAACTTGCCTTAGCAGCCCACAGGATGGAATCAGGGTGGAGCAGGGACTGGAACACAGCCCTCTGCATTCTTGGTACACCCTTTCTCTAGCCCCACTACTCACACATCACAGCACATCTCTCTGAGACAGAGAATGGTCCTCTACTCTCCTCAGACCCTTGTATCCACTATCCAAAGTAGCCAGTTGAAGTTACCCAGACCTGTCTACTAAGATGGCACCTGTTGACGTTGTAAAACATCTAAGCTACATTTGTACCCTCAACTCAGCATTCCGTCTTATTTTTTGGTAAAACCAAGATATAAATTACATATTGAGGTAAGTAAGAGGCCTCAGGAGGATGAAGGATGATAGGAAATCAGAATAGCACAGAAAAATGAAGGTAGAGAGAGAGAGACAACAGTCTGTGTGTAAATCAATCCACTAATCAATCTGAGGCTGCTAATCAGATCACGTATCATGTCCTTAACTGATTCTTCCAGGAGTCAGGAGAGAGGCTAGGTGGGGAGCATCGGTCATGGCATCCCTGTGCGTTTCCTTCAGGCTCACCCAAACCAGAGCAATGTCTTCCCAGCAGCAGCAGCACTGCCTGCCCCAGAAGGCCCAGCAGCAGCAGGTGAAGCTGCCCTGCCAGCCACCACCGGTCAAATGCCAAGAAATGTGCATATCCAAAACCGAGGACCTGTGTGCACCCCAGGCCAAGGAGTAGTTTCCCCCCAAGGGCACAGTTACTCCAGCCCAGCAGAAGTGTCCCTCAGCCCAGCAAGCCCCCAAGAGTAGTCAGAAGTAAAGATGGCCTGGAGGTGGCTGCCTATCGGCCATCCAGGCCACGAGCTGGATGTGGCCTCTTCACCTTGCTCCTGCTTCCCCCAGCCCCAGGTTCTGCCTCCCTTGCCCACTTCCTCCTGCTTAGGGTGCCATGAAGCCTCGTCTTGCACACCACCTTGGCTCCAAGGCCGCTTCTACACCCCACCCTGACCCCTCCTGGGTGGGAAGGAGAGTGGCCTTGTCCTCTACAGTCTCCAGCATGGCCACAACTAAGGCTCCTCCCTGTACCAAAGCAAGGGAAAGATCTAGACTTCTCCTGGGGCTCTACCCCGATGAGTGGGAACACCAGAAACCAATGTGCAGTTTCTTTGTGTCCCCCTTCCCCAAGGCCCCTGCTTTGGGTGTCTCTCCTATTTTCTCTGCTAAAAAATATGTGTTTCATGTAATATGTAAATATCTGTTTCCTGGCTGATCATCCCTGCCCACTCTCGGCAACATTCTGTGACCCAGTCATTGGCTCAGAGGGAATATTCTGGTGGGTGAGTGTGCAGGTGTGCCTAGGAGGGAGCTCAGGGACTCACCTACGGACACAGCCTCTCCCCAACTGACAGACTGGACAGGCAGATCCTGACACATCTTAGGGAAAGCATACAAGTGATCTGAATGCTATAAAACACTTCAACAAACATGTGCAAGGGACTTCTTCATGTATTCATTCATTCCTCCCTTATTATTCATCAACTCATACCATTCACTTCCTTATCTGCTCACTCATTTGGGGGGAGAGGAACCTGCAGTCTTAAGGCAAAATGTGACCTTCTAGGTCAGTGTATTTCAACCTTTTTTATCTCATGGCATACTCGAACCTAGAGTTAAACTTCTCCTGCACACTTAAATTATGTTGATCAAAAAAAGAGTAAAGAAAAGAATATACATACCATACTTTGAACGTCTTTCAAAAATAATTTAATTAATGATCTTTAAAAAATTTCATGATACACCTAAGTTCCTCTCATGACATGCCAATGTGCCCTGGGACATTTATTAAAAATCACTGTACTTAAGGGTAGTCGAAAGGCTGCACTTTTGTTTGAATTCGGATTTTACAAACAAATTCTTTTTTTTTTTTTTTTTTTAAGGCAGAGTCTTACTTCACCCTTTAGTACAGTGCCATGGCCTCGTAGCTCACAGTATCCCGAGTAGCTGGGACTACAGGTGCCTGCCACAATGCCCAGCTATTTGTTTGCTTTTAGAGACGGGATCTCACTCTGGCTCAGTCTGGTCTTACACTCATGAACTCAGGCAACCCACCTGCCTTGGCATCACAGAGTGCTGGGATTACAGGCATAGAACAAATCCTTTTATTAAAAGGGGCGGCGCAGAGAAAGGTGACGCTTTTCTTGCTTCTTTTGGTGCTTAAAAAAGAAGAATCTTGAAATCAGAGGGCTGTAGGCTCCCCAGAAGCCTTATTTTCACAGCTGGCTGCCTCGCCTTCTTAACCCCAATGTGAGCCTGGCTGAATCTATCAGGAAGCAGCAGCAAACCTCTCAGAGATAGAGAGTGAATTCTTGAAGAACAGCCTGAGTGAGAAGGAGCAGATAAATAAAGATTTAGATTTAAATCTAAAAATCTTAAAAATTAAGATTTTCTCCTCTTGAGCTTTATTCTTCTCTTGGATTTACTCCTGAATTCGTGGTGATGTCAATAATAAATTGCTTCCTCATCTACCACACTGACTTGAAAAGGAGTTAATAAGCACTGGCTCTGTTTTTCCTTAAAATCACCATCTGCAGCTGATATTCCCAAATCATAATTGTTTAAAACTTAGTGGATATGGACATTAAACAGGAAAACCAAAGTATTGTAAAAAAACAATTAAAATTCAAAGGTGCTTATTAACCCTAAGAATTCTTTGACAGCCTTTTTGTGCCCCGATTCTTGTATCCTCCCCTCTGTCAAGTATAAAGGCCAGTCCACCTTAGCAGTCCCCATCTTGGCTCCAATCCATCCAAGTCCTGGCCAGTTCCTTGGTCACACTGTTTTTGAATGTAATTTCCATGTCTCCTAGGAAAACCCTGGCAAGTCCCCCCACAGAATTTTGAGTACCAGGGCTGACAGATTTGCACAGCTAATTGGCCAGATCGGACAATTAAAACAATAAATGTTTCTGCAGTGGCCCCTGTCTGAGGCTGTTAACTCAGTGGGGAGGGAAGACACCCATGCCTCCCACACCAGTGGGCAAGGACAAAGTCCCAGCTGTCTGTGAATGTATAATGACCTATTCCCCTAAAAAAAAAATGCTTTTATGCAACTACGCCCTTCAGAAGTTCACAAAACAACATTGACTTATATCAAAATCCCATCCATATATGTCCTGAGAGCGGGTGGTAGTTTCATTCCTGTTCCCCTTCACCTAAAGTACGACAATGTAGCACACAAAGGGACCTTGTCTCTCACTTGGTTCAACTTCCTAATGGACTAAAGAGAAAACGTAAGAGCTGTCCCATAATTCCTAGACATTAAAATGTAACAACTCATGGCCTATTCCCAAATTTCCCTACAAGATCCAGAACATGCCACACTCTGCAAACACTAGATAATTCACTTTTCTCCAAATATGCCACTCAATGCCTCTGTATTGTGATTCACGCCATTCCTTCTGTCAAGAATATTAGTTGTTTCACTTTGCTGTCTAGGAGTCCTCTCAGTTTTAAAAGTTTGGTTCAAATATTTCATTGAACCTAACTTAACACTTCAGAAAGAACCAGTACCACCCACAAGCTCTCATAACACTTTGTACAAATTTTTATTATTAATATAATTATTATAACTATTTTGTTAAGCATAAAATTACTTGTGCATTGTGATTAACTCTTATGACTTTAATTTCCCAATTAAATTATAAGCCATTGAAGCACAGGGCTCTCACTGATCTCACTATCCCAGAAGGCACAATGATTGACTTTTCAAAAGCACAAAGACAGGACCTCTGCTTTTGGGTAGACTAGGACAGCTGGTAGTGAGCTGTATATCTAGACCAAATTCATAATTTATCTGCACACATCTGGGGACCCTATGATTCCAGAGAGCCTCAGAGAACTAAGGCAAAAAGTATTTGTCCTGGGACAGTTTGTGAATTCTGGGCATAAGCAAAAGAATAAAAACTTGAGCTTCCCACTGTGGAGGGTCCCTGCTGGAGACAGAGAAATTAGGAGAGTTTATGGACACTTTGAGGGGCTTCAAGCAAACAGCTGATTTCCACTCAGAAAATGTAATGAATTATAGCTGGGAATAGTTAGGTCAGTACACTATATACCTAAGCAGAAAGTCTCTGAAAAGCAGAGTGGGGATTTAGTAGATTTATGAGACAATGAATGGAGTTTGTAACCTGCTGGGGGTGGGGGCGGGTTCTGGGGAATACAGCAGACAGAGAGTTGAAATCTGTAAGCTTAGGGTAAAATCTGATTTGTTACAGCAAAGGCAAGATAATGGTCATTGGTAGGAAAGGTACTAACTGGAAGGGGCCATGATGGAGACTTCTAGGATTCCAAAAAAGTCCTCAATCTTGTAGGTTATTACACAAGTATATACATGCACTGAGCTGATATGTACATTTTTCTTTTTGTTAGTTTTTTTATTAAATCATAAACACATAGATCATGTATACATTAATGCGTTTATGAGGTACAATGTGCTGATTTCACATAGCATTAGGAACACTTATATCACACTGCTTAATACATACCTCATTTTGTTTACTTAGTTATTGTGTTAAGACATTTATACTCTATACTTAATATTTTTTTGTTATTTTAACCTCAACAAAAATAGAAATGCCATTAAAATAATGTAAATTAGGGCTGGTGCTTGTGGCTCAAGAAGTAGGGCACCAGCCCTATATGCTGGAGGTGGTGGGTTCAAACCCAGCCCTGGCCAAAAAAAACCACACACACAAAAATAATAATAATGTAAATTACCTCAACTAAATTTAATTAAAGATATGATGTTTATGCTAAAAATATAAAGTATTATTGTAAGAAAATGAAAAAGAACTGACAAAGGAAGGGCCGTGCCATGTGCACGTGATGGAAGCCTCTATGTCAGTGGGCCATCAGCTGCTCTAACACACACACCAGAATGGAAGCCAGGTGGCCTCACGCAACCCAACACATCAGCCAAAATTCAGAAGACACTCCTGGGTGGAGGGCTTGACTACAGCTTGGTCTTTGCCTAACAAACACAAACAATATAATCTAGTTGTCTTTACCCTCATATTAATCTGAAATAAAATAAATAAATAGCCTGCACTCCCACCAGCAGTGCAGAAGTGTTCCCTTTCTCCACATCCATGCCAACATCTGTAGTTTTGGGATTTTGTTATGTGGTCTATGTTGATTGGTTAAAAGTAATCACGTTAGATTGTACTTAAAAAAAAATCAGCACATTGTACCCCACATATGCACAAATGTATCCAAGATCTATGTGTATTTGACTTAATAAAATAAAACAATAAATAAATTAAAACTTAAAAAATAAAAATTAAATTAAAAAGACATAATACCAATCACACAAACTGCTGATGAGAACACAAGCTCGACAGCCACTATGGAACATCACAGCACACCACTAGGCAACATTTTCTAAAGCTGAGCTCATATGTCCCAGCCCACCAATTTCACTCTTTATTGTATACAATGGAAATATGTGCACATGATTGCAAAAAATTATGTATGAAAACATAGTCACAGTATTTGTAATAACCTCAATTAAAAATATCACAAATATATATTAACAGGAGAATGGATAAATTAATTGTTGGACCCCACAAGCAGTGAGATATGACAAACCAGACTTTATAAGGTGTATGTACTTTACAAACATAATCTTGAGAAAAGATTCCTACCTCAGGAATCTGTACTACAGCAGACATTATTCCACTTATTTACATTAAGTCACAATTACTAGAAGGTGAGCTTTACAGAGATGTGGCAAAGTTTGTGCCTTTAGACACATATGTGTGCT